TGTCTAGAGTACGTGGGTTGGGTTATGTAATCTGGAAACGAATCGAAGGGCGCTACCCGTTAAGTTGCGGTTTGGGTCTAACTTTCGAAAGACTGGCGAACGGGGTGTCGACTGTATCTTGGAGGTCAGTCTTTGAACGGTACACAGATATTTCTTTTCGTTTTTGTTTGTCTCTGGGACCCTTGGAGTTGGGCGACCCTGACGCGTGTATGACCCTAGCGTGTAGTGTAGGGATTTAAGGGCCGCTCTGATGGATTGCGAGGCCGTTGCAGAATAACCTCCTCGGGGTGGTGCTGTTCCGCCTGTCCGTTCGATCAAGCGGAGCAGCTTCTTACAACTAAGTTTGCTTTGGGCGCAGCTATCTCCTTGTATTTTCACGGGTGTGGGGGTGGGAGTGGGGGTGGGGGGAGCAGTCGTTGTGCCTAATCTAACATCTTTCTTTGTCGCTGTTCGCACCATGCAGTTTTATGGTGTTGGCTTGGGGATTTTTGTAAGCTTCTTTCGAGCTTGAGTGTTGAGCTTGGATTACGCGATGTGAACAAAGGAAGAACGAAACACACAGGAGAGAGCGGGAACGTTCTTCAAAAACCCGCGTGAGTGTATATTTAGACGCGTTGGTCATGTACACGAGTGCGGCGCGGATAGATATCCGTGAGAACATCTCCATGGTCCGCTGACCCATCACGATGCTCCACGCGTTCGTACAACCACGCAGCTCCAACACATCGAGACGTCGCACCTGACGTCAAAAACTGACAAAGATATATATCTCCTTCATCGATGCACCGTGCTCGTTGCGTTGACCGTCTTGTCTCTGAACCATGTCAGTCATCCTTCGCCTCCAAAATTTGGGCAGTTGATCAGTCGAGAAAGGCTTGAATTGAAATATGTGTGTTTGTGTCGAAATCAGTAACGGTTTGGGCATACTTTGGCGGCTAGATCGAGAGAGGCTGGTTTCCAAAGAACGCCATCAGTTTCGATAACGGACACAACCCACGATGTGGCCTCGAACTGCAGCAGCAGTTAGTTCCAGACTGTAATAGTTTTCCCCGACGGGGTGTGGTATGTAACGCAATCGATGCTATGTTCCACACGCAACAACCAAAACCACGGTTCGGAGAGCGGGGCATGACTTGCTCTTTGCTCACATGTTTGTTATACTTCTACCTGCGGTGGTGACGCATGATTCTGCGGCGACTGTTGTGTTTTCTGTTTTCCCTCTTCCCAAGCAATGCGTCGCAGGACGCTCCTACATGGACGGCAGTCAATGTAAATCCACTATCGCTATCAGGATAAGGACTGGAGGGGGGCTAGGCTCAGTGATCACACGAGAAACAGAAAGTGAGCCCCCTCAACGGGTGATGACCCTCTCTCCACAGAAATGTAAAGCCCCTCTTCGGTTAATTGATGAGTTTCTCTTGTACTACTTGGCGATCCGGATGATGAGCACATCTGCTCGCTATTAGTCTACTCTCTCACCCACCCGCATTTCTTCATTTATCTTCCGTATCAATCGTACTGATTGGTGGGAGACGACGACCAAACAAAGGAGTGCGCCCCAACACAAACAAGGAACAATTCAGCATGAAAATATAACGAACAAGTAACGAACAAAGAACGACAGAAATTCACGACCAACTGGGAAACAACTACTACTCACTGTTGCTGTAGAACGAGACAGGGGCGTGCTCCAGGATACACAAAGAAACCCAGCGCACCTGACAGCACCTCTAGCAAACACACACCGGTGACTCGTACGTACAACACCGCAACGTTTCTCCGACACAACGCATAAAAGGCGTGTGTGTGTGAGTGCACCTAAACCAAAACGTCTTTCGTTTCACATGCCAAGCACGAACACCAACTCATTTCCAAGGTTTACAACAAGCACGCTCAGCGCACCCGCGAGGATACGAAAGCGAGCCCTTGTAGTTTCGACCCTGCTGCACCAAGCAAGACGCAATACACATACATACATACGATAGCCAGCGATACACATAGCCGCCGTCAGAACAGTGACGTCTTCTTTCAAGGGCCTCGAGGAATACGCTCCGGTGACGATGACGGATTCCTTGGGTATCTACCGAGGCGTATTGCTCGGCATTCCCCCCTGTAGCAACTGGATAGAGACGGTGTAAAAAGGCTCGATCGAGAGACGGACACATGAAAATGAGAGGACCAGGCGGACTACATAAGGACCATGAGAGTTGAGTGCACACTACACGCGTTGCTCGGCACCAGCTCACTGTATGTAGTATGTGTGACGATCCAATATTTTTCTTCTGCTGGTGCCAGGCCGCTGTCAACGCTCTGCTCCAGGCTGGGCCTCTCGCGAAGTCTGTCATGCACGCGATCATCGAGGAAACGATGAAGGCTGGCGTGCACGGACCGGCGGCCACGATTTTTTTTTATGTCTCTGCTATGCTTGGCGGAGAAGCAGAGCGGAGACATCACAACAAAATCGTCACCGCCGGTACGTGCACGCCAGCCTTCATCGTCTCCTCCACAATCTCGTCCATGACAGACTTCGCGCGGCCCAACCTGGAGCAGAGCGTTGACAGCAGCCTGGAACCAGCAGCGGAAGACGAAGAGGAAGATAGGACATGTACCAACAAAGGGGTGCACAAGTACGGAGATTCGAGCAATAACGCGAGGCGAGAGACGGAGATAAGTTCAGTTATCGAATGCATGATGTTTCTTCGACGCTACACTGCAATACGGTGTCGTCGGAAAAAGCAATGACGCACCCGAGCTTAGTAATTGTGTAGTATTTGCGTTCTAAAGCAAGCAATTATGGCAACCAAACCACAGGCGTAGGCTCACTTCAAGAAGATGTCCTCGAGACCGTTCTTGGTCATTTCGTCGTCCGCGTCGCATCGCACAATCGGGTCTCGGGACGGTCAGACACCCGAGCGGCGTACCTCTTGATGACGGACCAGGTGTAGCCCACCTCGTAAACAGTGGGAAGGGGTCGTACGTGTGCGCTATATGTGGAATGCCGTCATATTCTAAGGCGACTATATACAGGAGGCACGTGAGCCGTTCGTTCACCACAGGTAAACGCTACCTCGCGACACTTTGCTTACGATACGGTTAACGAATACCCACCGCTGGCGGTACATGCTGTCGTGCGTTTCGTTATTTAAGGAAAGTTGATTTCATCAGTGTCTCAGCACCAGAATCAGGGTAGGCTCAGCCTTCGGCCCTCTTTCCTTCAGCTGAAGGAGTCACCACTCAATTATGGGTTGCACACACGTTCCACCCGTAGGCCAGGCCTGGCGTCTATCATCACATGGTCACACAGCAGAATGTTAATGCTCACCGCGTTGATCGCGTGCTGGCCGCCGTGGTACGCGTTCATCATGAGCCAAGACAACGGGACAGCCCACTTCCGAAACACTTGGGCGGCCTCAACAATTATAATGTTTCGGCCTAAACACAGAAAACTGGCATTGCAGGTGGCCTCAAAGTCCTGGGGCGCGGTGGTTTGGCGGGGTGGTGGGTACAGCCAAGGTTGTACTGGCGAATCACTTCCCACTCCAGAATACCGACCCCAGGGCTTTGACGCCGCCCGCAAGTCGATTTTCCTGTGCGTGGGCCAAAACATTGTTGCGGCCGCCCCAGTGTTTCGGAAGTGGGTTATCCCCTTTAAATGCTGGCTGAACCCGTGACAGATACAACCACACATGAAGGTGTAGACTACCAGTACGTAGTAGGGGGTGAACCGCAACAGAGCATCGATCGGGGAACAAGATCCTATCGCCGCAGACAGCACCGAAAGCATCCTTAAGCAACCAACCCCGGAGCGGCCCGGACACCCGTCGCCAAATGTGTGAGGGTAAGAACCCGGGCCAAGACATTCCTACGGCACCCCGCAGCCTCACCATGTTTCTTACCTGGTTGTATCTAACCTCGTGGGGGTTGGG